AGAGGTAGGATGGAGCGACGGGCGGGGCAGGAAATCATGTAAAGGAAGTCTTGGAGGGGGGGGGGCACTGAAAATCCCGGTCACATGAGGCCAGGGTGGCTGTGGGGGCTGTCTCTGCACGGACTCCATTTGACCCCTTTGTCCGCAGCACAGGCAAAGCTGGAACTCTGCCCTGTCCTCTCTGCCCTCCAGAGCTCTCTAATCAGAAACCCCCTGTGCAGCACCTGCTAAGTGATCCCGCGCCATGGCTGTTCCCGTGCCTGTGAGCAAAAAGTCACACTGAGCCAGGGCCCTGCCGTCGAGGCTCACGAGTCACGAGAGGACACCCTCGGGCGAGAAGCCTTACCTGTGCAGTGGGTGTGGGCGAGGCTTCAGCCAGAATCAAACCCCATCATCCATCAAAGGACACACTCAGGGGAGGGGCCGTGCGTGTGCCCGGAGTGCGGGAAGTTGGCCGTCAGGACACTGGAGGACTCACCGGGAGGAGAAGACGCTGTGCGGCGACGGGTCCAACCTCATCTCCCACCAACGGACACGCTCGCACTCCGGGGAGGGGGGAGCCGTACGCGCGCCAGGAGTGTGGGCGGCACTTCCGGTAGAGGACAACCCTGTCAACCACCGGAGGACGCGCACGGGATGCTTCAGCTTAAAGTCCCACCGCGGCAGACACCAGCACACCCACTCGGGCCGGGGCCTAGTGTGTGCAAGGAGCGCGGCCGCGGCTTGGCTTCGGCCAGCATCCCAACCTCGCCCACACTAGAGGACACACTGGTGTGTGAGGGCTGTGAGGGAGAAGCCGGAGTGGGGACTAGGCCTTAACCAAAAGGCAGCCTTATTCACACGTAAGCGGGCACTCTTCCAAGAGAGGCGTTGTGTGTGCAGAGTGTGCACTTCAAGAGAGCTTTGTGTGTGGACAAGGCTTCAGGCAAAGGCATCACCTCAGCAGACACGGGAAGATGAAGCGTGCCGCGCCAGCCTATCTGGGCAATTTCCCGACCCCTTATATTCGCAATGAAAGTGATGGAGAGGAGCCATTGTCAACATCCTCACACTCCCCCGACGTGGAAAAATGCATTTCATGAGACCTGTGGACAGAGGACAGTGACTCCATCTACTTCCCTTCCGGTCTCTTGTGTGCCCTTTTGTCTAGTAAACTCTGATTCTTTACAGATTTTCAACCCTGATCTGTTATTTTGCCCGGTCCTGTCCTCCCCCCATCTCACCCCCCACCCCCGGAGCTGAGGACCAACCCCAGGCAGGACCTTGCACTTGCTAATGCCCTACCCACTGAGCTAAATCCCCCAGCCCCCTGCAACCTGATCTGCGATTCTCTTTGTCTATTAGGAAATGGAGCCTTCAGGTATCCTGAATTCACCGTTCACAAAAATTCATTGCTTGGAAGATAAGGGTATAGCTACAAGACCCTTGAGGCCTCAGACAGATTAAGTGTGTGGCTCGGCAACCGCACAAAGGGGTTTCCGTTAAGACACGCCTTCCATGGCATTTTGATACCTAAAACAGAGAATCTTATTGTGATACCTTTGTGGATGTGTTTTTATCTGCTGGAGTGAAATTCTGTTAAAAGTATAGGAAACCCTGTAGAAATAATAGCTAGAAAATGTTTTTTTTTTCCACTCAGATTCTCTCCAAAAGTTTTTTTTTTTTCAAAAGTTGTTGTTATACCTAGCTATACACACCCAACTGTTAAAAGATGGAGAAATGCACTTAGATTTTTGTTCTTCTTTCTCTTTAATTTCATGTATTTGGGTGTGTTTTGCCTGCATGCATGCTTGGAGTCCTCAGAGGGCAGAAGAGGGTGTCAGATGTCCTAGAACTTGAGCTTGTGAGCCACCAGTTTTCTGTGAGAGCAGCCATCACCTCAGTCCCAGAATGGCAGTTTGTCACCTAAGCTTGCACACTATGGTTATCTGCATATAACAGCATACTATATCTTCCTTCCGGTATGCTTTGCTTTCAAACCCACTAAGTCCTGTACGTTTTAGAAAATAATTATACCCATTTTTTAAATGACCCAGGTTTGTGGTGTTTTGTTTGTTTGTTTTTGTTTTACAAATTTCCTTAGGTTTTTAGGGTGTTCATATATTGTATGCCACATTGTTTTACAGACTGTCAAGAAATAAATGGTTCATATCAATCTGCTCAAGTAGGTTTCTGGAGGGAAACACAAGTTTCCCTCCAGGTGATCAAGAAACAAATTAAAATCTATATTTATGTAGATAATGGGGTTTGGGGAGAGGAAAAAGCCATATTTCTTCCAAGATTTCCCGGAAATGGGTATTTTCATTTACATCTGCTCAAGTATGGAGGCTTAGCTTATAGGCATTAAATCTTCGAAGATATGCAGAAAATGTAGTTTCTTACCAAGTTCACAGAAATCATGGAGGGGTTTTTGTTATTACATTACCCTTTTTTAGAAGTTTTAGAGTTTTCTTCTAAATGGCATAGAAGTATGATTTTTTTTTCAGTAAAATTGGCTCAGATATAGAAGTGTTGAGAAATAATTGCTATGCCAGAATTTTCTTTCAGTGTAGCTTAAAAACTGTATTTTTTCCAAGTTTCTCTACTTGTTAGAGGGATGGGGAGGGAGAAGTAATTCCTGTTCTGCACAAGTAGTAAGAAAAACACTTGCTTACTAATTTCCAGGCTGGAGTGATGGCTCAGAGGTTAAGAGCACTGTCTGCTCTTTCAAGGTCCTGAGTTCAATTGCCAGCAACCACATGGTGGCTCATAAATAAACATATATGTGATATATGAATAACTTAACATACACAAACTTTGAAAAATTTTAAAAAGTATACTAATTTTCTAACTATTAGACATGAGATCTGTGCCATATTTTCTTCACAATGGCACCTAAACACAATTTTAAAAAATTCAAATTCAGACTAAAGTGTGTGTTTTGTTTTCGTCTCATTTTTCCCCCATATCAGCTCTTTACTAGCTTTTCTTCTAGAAAGTGTTTTTTTGTTTTGTTTTGTTTTTTTGGGTTTTTTTTGGTCGAAAGTAATTAAAAAAGATGATCTTTTACTCAAACGTGCCAGAAATGGGCAGAAGCCCACACCATACTGTTCCCCAAGAATGACATAATGTTTATGTCCATATTTGCATAATTTGAGGTAGAGCAATCAACATGAGTTAATTGCCATAATTTCACCTCAATCAGCATGCAAATGCACCTTTTTAAAGATCCATACTCATTCACATTGTGGTTTTATTTTTCACCTAATCCTTAAGGCAGCTTCTTTGTTCCAGGCTAGCCCAGAAACAGTTGTTCATTCACATTGGCTTGAGCTATTGGTTATTTTGGGTATAATTCTCTGCCAGATCTTCCAAAATGGCCCAGAACTAGGGTTTTTAAAAACCCAAATTGAATGGGGTGGTGGCACATGCCCCTAATCCCAGCATTGGAGAGGCAGAGGCCAAAACAAAACAAAACAAAAAACAAAAACTACCTGAATTGGATTCCAGCTTGGTGTGAGACCTGCTCCAAGATGGAAAAATGAGAGCAGATACCTGACATTTCCTCCTCTGGCCCATGCATATGCACACCTACACACACACACACACATACACACACACACACACACACACACACACACACACCTACCTTAGATCCTCATGCTTATGCAACAAGTGCTCTTACTCATTGAGCCAGCTTCCTGGCGCTGCCACCCTATTTGACAACTTGACACACTGGAAACAAGGGCCAGGGGCACAGGAAACAACCCTCAGTGTTTCCAGACCGCTGAGGACATAGTGCAGTGGCAGAGCACTTGTGTCTTGCAAGAAGGGCCTTCGTTTTGCTCCCTAGCACCACTAAGTGGACACATTAATAGTTTTGTGGTCTGAATGTTTGTGTTGTAACCTAACTGCTCATCTAGTGGTATTAAAATTCAATTCAAATAAAGGGTGTGACAGTCAAAGTCACAGGCAATAGAGGCTGAAATCACACAGGCACACGAATTTATAGCACACTGGCTATAATTTTAAGCTGGGTATTCTAGAGATGCCTCACAGTCCACTAGGCAGAGAAACACAGGTTAATTGGCATGTGCTTGGTTCCCTCTTTCTTTTCCAAGGCCATAGCAAATCCTCATATGCTGGGACCACACCTTATTTTATTCTTTTTTTAGCCCTAAAGGAATAGGCATACACAAAATACCTCTACAGTGGACTGTTTTTATTTCCTTGGTTTTAAGGAACTCAAGGAAAGAAGAACATAGAAGAAGCAGGTGATCTGGTTTTTTAAAAAATGGCAGGTGACATTTCTTGGTATACTATGACAGTTTTTGTGTTGGATCACCTGGAGGAGTCTTGGCCAGGGGCTGTCTACATCAGGGTGGGGATTGCCTGGTTTAGCTAATGTGAGGCAGGAAGACCAAGTCATCACCGGTGGTAGCACTCCCTAAGCAGGGGGTCCTGGACTATACAAGAGTGGGCAAGGTGGAATTGAGCACTGGCTTGCAAGCGTCCACTGCTCTTTGTACTTGATTATGAATATGACATGCCCCACTCCCTCAAGCTTCTGCCACATAGGAGCTAACTTGGCTTTGTCAAGATATTTATCACAGCAACCAGAAAAGTAAGACACATACTGATCAAAGAACACCTGATGTTCTCTTGAGGTCTCTGTGAACAAACAGGAGTGTGAGCCATCTCACACATGCACACACACACACACACACACACACACACACACACACACATCTTTTTTTTAATCATAATATTATAAGGAAATAGACACTGTTTAACAAAATTAGTTATTTAAAATAGTCCATGCAGCTGAGCGTGGTGGAGCACCCTTTTAATCCCAACACTCAGGGAGGCAGAGGCAGATGGATCGCTGTGAGTTTGAGGCCAGCCTGGTCTACAAAGTGAGTCCCAGACAGCCAAAGCTAAACAGAGAAACCCTGTCTAGAAAAAACAAAGAAACAACAAAAATATAGAAGTCTTGAGAAAACTGACACTCTAAGAATGTGTAGGTTAGCAGTTTTTCCTTTATTTAAATTTTATGCTGTTTTAATTCTTATAACACAGAGAATGTTTTATGAAAGCCACTTGTCTGCACAGGATGAGCAGTGGACCACTCTGCTGAGATATGAACATCCATCATGACTGCACATGTCTGGGAGACAGAATCTGCACAGCATTATTCCTCTCAGAGTGCATAAGCCGTCACAACCAAAATACTGACTCACTTTAAAAATCTGTGTTCTCAAAGTGAGCACAACCTTCTATCAGAAAATAAATGTTCTCCAGACTTAATAGCTGAGATACCTAGTTCGTAAAGCTGTCCTTTAGGCTCACTGATCATTCAAAAAAAAATCAAGTAAATTTTCACAATTATTTCCTAAGAAGTAGACACAACACTTAGAGTGTATAAGCATGCAGGTACAACATTGTGCTAGTCAGCTTTTCATCATTATCACACAATACCCAAGATAATCAACTTACAAACAAAAGGTTGTGTTGGCTCACAGTTCTGAAGTTTCTAGTCCACGATCATTTGACTCCAAGGCTTTGGGGCTGTATCAAGGTACATCATACCAGAAACAAAATCATTCAGTTAATCACCAGGAAGCAGAAGAGAGTGAGATTCCACAAGCCCCTTCAACGACATGCCTTCAACATAAAAGACATCTCAGTAGCCCACATTTCTTAAAGGTTTACTCTTGGGGCTCCTCCATTCTCACCCATTCAAATATGTGAACTTCGAGATTTGTACAACTCAGTTATCAAACCACCTTGAAATGAAAAGGCACCTTCCGGACTTTGGCTGTCAGGAACATAACACAGAAACAACCCACAGGGTCACGTTACTGAAGAAGTTTACTAAAGGGAAACAGACTACTTATATAGATATGTCACAGTGTTAGAAACACACACACGCACAATCCTGTTTTAACATGTTAGCCTCGAGGAAATATAAGGGGTCACCAGCGCTTTGCTGTCTGTCATGCAGGAAGCAGGAAAGGGCAGCCTCATCCCCAAGGGTCCCAATGGTTCATGGTAGGTGAGCTGGCCTAAATGCTGCCTGCACTTTAAAAAAATGCATTCAGTGAATCTAGAGATGTGGAAGGCCTGTGTTCAAAGCTCATTGTCTGGGCAGCTTTCAGACTCTCAGACTTGATAATCCATTGTTAGAGAGATCATCTTGGCCCATCACTTTGGGTAACCTGAACCTAATTCAAACCTACAGACTGCATACTGCCAAAAATACCAACCAAGAAAGCCTATAGCTCCTTCTGGGTTCCTACAATAGATAGAGACCTGGTGATGGAAAGATCCAGACTGGGCCCAAAAGGTAGCAGATTAAAAGCAAAGGAGAGCTTTATTTTAGTAGTCACGGGAGACAGTTCACCTGCCGTCGGAGGAGGCAGTTTCTGTCTCAACCTTATAAGTCCATCTTTGCTGAAGATGGAGAGTCCGGGGACGTCTAAGGGGACCAGCCTGCAAAGCTTGCTGAGGCCTTCAGGGCCTGTTTGTCCTGCCACACACTGCCTTCCAGCAGGAGCTGGACTATGCTATGGCACTGCACAGTGAATTGACCTAACATCAAACAACACAGGCTGTGTAGACTGTCCCAGTGGAGCTGTCTCCACTAATCAGTTAACTCCAGAGTCCTCTGAGTCCACTAAAGCCCCAGAGAGAAAACAGTCTAGGGAAGTATCCTGCTAGACAGATGCTCCTAGCTTGAACCATGCAAGTCCATCTTTCAGACGACCAGTCCATAAGAGAACCCGCCCCATCAACAGGCCTTCCTCTTACACATGGTTCTTGAGTCTCTCTGCCTGACTGACTTACCATTCTCTACCCACGTACCCTTTCTCGTGTAATAAGAACCACATCCATGCCATTGCCATGCCATTCCAACATCTTTAGCTGGCCTAATGTCTCTGTCTTCTCTTGCCACTTTCTGTCTGTGCTCCCCTGATACTGTACCTAAGACTGTTTTATGCCAACTCCATGATGTGCCAGCATGTGTGTCTGCGGGAACAGTTCCATGGTTTTCACACATGCTTTCTTTTAGAGTGTCTGCAAAAGATTTAGGCCCACCCCCCACTGTGTTTTCAAGGGAAACACACAGAACAGATGTCCAGGTAGAACATTTTGGTTTCAAAGCAGTCAACAGTATCTGTAGTGATTTCTGGCAAAAGCAGCTCTAAGGAATGGATCATAATTACTATGGGGTCACTGATTGTGACCAACTGTGTGACCTGTTACACAGAGAAAAGCAAGATGTCAGCCACCCCCTCTGTCCACACGGACTCACGTGTACTATTCTATAAACAAAAGGGACAGCTATCGCTTCTAGAGGCCCATGAATGATGAGGTCCCATTACAGTGTGGTGTGTCCTCCAAAGGAGGAACCTGAATGCTAGACTCTTTTTGCCCGGGAAGGTAAAACACCTGTAAAACTGCAGTCGCAGAAGCATCTGATGCCACGTGTCAGATGTCCACGTGTCTACAGGAAATGCCTCCCGGGTCTCTTACAGACATTGGTTCTCCTTCCCTGGTGGATGTCCTGAACATCCCATCAAGGGTGAGGACATTAAAACAATGTCATACTGAGTAAGCGTAGTCTTGCTTTCAGCAGACCTAGCAGAATCGAAGTTACTCAATATGGGACCATTCCTAGGAACATATTTCTGTGATCCTTTGTAGGAAAGAGAGAGCCAACCCTTAAATTAGAATTGTTTTCAACCACCTGTCTGCTGTGGGTGACGGATCACCACCGCACAGGGAGAAACTCTGGGAGGAGGGAGAAGAGCCTGGAGATGGACTGAGGCCAGCTTGAGGGAGCATGAGACAGGATAACCTAGTTCTGAATCGTGGGGAGAGACTTCTCAAACACAGTTTCTGCTAAGATAAGGACACAGCTATCTTATGCTCTGAATTCTTATAAATTACTTCATTAAGCTGTATATTTATGTCCAATAAAAGCTGGGGAGGATATACACATGCTATATATTTTATGTTATACTCCTGTGTACACTCACATATGTGATTATACCATGTTACACCACACTACAGAGACATGGCTGAGGATGAAGCAGCGGCTGAAGAGCCTGGATGGAAGCGCTTTATTATATGGAACTTTATACTTTTTGGCTTGGAACCACACGTAATTATTACCTATTGAAAAAGAAATAACCAGGCTGGGAATTTCTAACTCTACTTCAGTTGGTGGAGTATTTGGTTAGCATGCATGAATCCTTGGGTTCAGTCCCCTGTACCACATAAAACCCAGTGTGGTGGTACAAGTCTGTAATCCCAGCACTCAGAAGGTGGAGGCAGCTGGATCAGAAGTTCAAGGCCATCCTCAGCTACATAGCAAGTTCGAGGACAGGGCACACGAGACCTTGTTTCAAAAACAACAATAAAGAAAAACAAAAATTAAAAACAAAATTTCAAAATTATCAATAAAAACATTAAAAAAATATCTGGACATGGTGGCACATACCTTTAATCCCAGCATTTGGGAGGCAGAGATAGCTAGATCTCTGTGACTTCAATTCGAGCCTGGTCTACATAACAAATTCTAGGCCAGCCATGGCTGTAGAGTGAGACTCTGTCTCCACAAACCGACCAACAACAAAACAAAAAACACAACAGAAAATAAAATATAAAACATTAAAAAGCATATGTTAATTTTACCATACTCCAACTTGTATGTGGTTCTGGGTAGTTATGCCAGCTTTAGAAAACAGATCTGAGTCTGTTGGTCACAGCCTCTAATCTCAGCTACTTAGGAGGCTGAGACAGGTAGATCTGGAGTAGTTCAAGGCCTGTCTATGCTACAGGGTGAGTTCAAGGCCAGCCTGAGCAACTTCATAAGACCCTATTTCAAAATAAATACAGCTGGGTGTGCGTGTAACACAATGGTATACAACACCTACCTAGCGTCTGCAAGGCCCTGGATTAAGTCTTTTGTGACACGCATCCACACGCACATACACGCACACACACTCAAGTCTTATAAGTTATTTGTTTTGGTTTGGTTTTTTTGTTTTTCAAGATAGGGTTTCTCTGTTTTAGCCCTGGCTGTCCTGGAACTCTCTGTAGACCAGGCTGGCCTTGAACTCACATTATGACTTCTTTTCAACCCTAGTTCTTAACACTTAAATACACATTCCAAAAATAAGAACAGCTGTAGCTGGGTAGTCTTTGCTGCCTCCTGAATACCTCATCTCTAACTGTCACTTAGGATGTGGTTCCCTGGTGGGGAAAGTCGGTCCTCCAGACCTTGGCTGAACTTAGTGGCAAGGAGCGAAGAGGCGAGGTCATCCCCAACCTCCAGAGCGGTGTCATATGCTGTTTGGCCTCTTGAGTTCTTCTTCTGGGTGTCTGCGTTGCACCTGAGAAGGAAGTGGATAAACAGTCACTCAGGGTCACTCAAGCATGCGACCTCAGAGTTTGACTACTCCTTGCCCCAGAGGCCAATGTAGGCATAAGCTGGTCCTGCCTCCCCAAATCTACCCCAAAGAGGCCACTGTAGCTTCATCTCTCACAGTGACTCTACCTTGATCCCTTTTAAGGGACTGTGTGATTTCAAATACTCAACCGTCTGTCCTTGTCATTGGTCCCAACTGCCTCCAAGTCCTATAGCCACGTTCAGTGAGGGCTAACACTCACTGTGCAGTAGTGGCCTTCGGTGGCAGGGACAACAGTCCAGAGCGTAGGGCCCTTCTACCGCCACTGAGTGTCAGCAGGGATGTCGCTGGCCCCCTCAGCGGTGTGCGCCTTTCAACATACCCCAGTAGCGTGGCGATGCTCTCCCTTCCTTCCAGGCCAAGTAGAGCTGCTTCATGAAGAGCTGTGTTTCTGAACCTATTTGTGGAAAATATTTTCTGAGTAAATCTTTAGTGTTATCAGGACAATGGGAAGGGACTAAATTTGGGTCCTCAGGTTTGGTGACAGGTGCCTTTACCTGCTAAATTCTCTTGCTGGCCCTAACTCTGGTTTGCTAAGGAATGACTTGCCAAGCCTCTCTGATACAGGAAAGCCAGGTCTCTGAATGGCTGAGAGTGGAAGGATGGAGGGAACGGAATGTGGTTCGCTGGGTCTACTGAGCCCAGCTTCAGGGCAAAGGCCATGCTGACAGGTTTAAACTCTTTGTTTGCTGGTTATTGTTTTTTGTTGCTTTGTGGTTTTTTTGTTTTGTTTTGTTTTGTTTTTAGATAGAGTCTCACTATGTAGCTCTGGCTGCCCTAGAATTCACTTTGTAGGCCAGGCCGGCCTTGAACACACAAAGATCCACCTGTCTCTGCTTCCCAAGTGCTGGATAAAAGGCATGCACTACTATGCCCGGCTCAAGTTTAAACTCTTTAGCTGAATACATTTGAACTATATTTAGTAGCATTTGATTCTCTGAAGGCAAATCATCTGCTTCCTTTTACTGAAAACTGCTAAAAAGAAAGGGGAGATCTGTGTTTTATTTGGGAGCGTGGCCCCAGCCTGGCTTTCTTCTTGGAAGCCTTTCGCCCATGTAAGTTAAACACTGCCCCAGGCAGCCTTGATGAACAGTGGGAGTGACTACTACCCCAGCCAGTACTGAGACTTGCTAGACTTGCAATGGCACTGTTACAGCAGTCAGAGAGATGGGCATGACCAAAAGCAGGCTCAGTATGTCTGCAGTGACATCTCTGTGCACCTGTCACTGTGGAGTACTGATTAAATATGTAAGAAAACTGAGGAAGACCACATCAAAATGACAACCTGTTCTATGCCCAGAGTAGTTTCAGATTCTTAGTTGGACTGTTCATGAATCCAGGACTATTTTACTGGAAAATTATTCAAAAAGTGGCATGTGTGTCATCCATAAGGCATCATGCTTGTTTTAAAGGCCTGTTTGAATTATAGTAAATATATTATAAAGCAAATAGCATCACTGGGCACAGTTGTACACACAATGGATCTCAATATTCAGGGTGCAGAGGCAGGTGGATCTTTGTGAATTCAAGGCCAGCCAGAGCTATACAGTGAGACCTTATTTTAAAAACCCACATAAACAAATGGCATCATTCCATGATCAAGATAATGATGTAAAGGTGTGCAAAGTGACGGAGAGAGCACGGTGAGTGTAAACCTTCAGAGAGCCTAAGAGAGTTGGCAAAGTTTATAACTACACAGCAAGTCTTCTGCTATAAAATAAAACCGATAGGGAGCACTATATTCTGATATAGGTGTCTTATAGGAAATATAAAAATTCACTCAATAAAAAACATAGTTTTTGTGTTTTGAGACAGGCTCTTGTTATTATAGTCCTGTCTAGCCTCAAACTCATGATCCTATTCTGGCCTCCTAAGTGCTGAGACTACAGGTGTGTACCAACAGACCTGGTGACAAATTTTGTAAGCATATATGGTTAATTTGAAATGATAAAACCAAAATAAATAGTAGTCATAAGGAATATGTTTTGAATAAAAACATAAGAAAATCTGAAACATAATAGAAGCAAATATGGTGAATTTTGCTCCTCCTCTTCACGGTGGCTGGAAATAGCCAACATTACATCTCACCAAGCCAGGACTTGAACTTGTCTGTGTAAGAATCCAGGAAGCAAGAGGGCTAGATACCTACACACCCTTGTAAATTTCTATTTTGACATTTTGGCCAGGAGATGAGCACTGCTATAGATGATGCATACTCCAGGAACTTCCAAAGTCACTTGGAAGCAAATGAAGAATCACAGATAGGAACTGGGGTGTGAGTCAAGATGGCACTGAGGTTGCCATAAGTAGGGCCTCTCTATCCTCAGATGAGGTATCTTAGGGCCAAGAGATTGTGTGGTCAACTCACGTGCCAGCTCCTCACCCATGGTGTCAGCCTCTGCACGCAGTTATGTAATGCTTTATTTCTGCACTGACTTCACAGATGTATTTTCACAGGAATACACTGAGGCCTCCCTTTACTTGGTAGAGCTCTTAACAGTATGGATCATAACAAAAACTTCGTTCAATATCCCAAGAGCTAAAGATTTGTTAGAGTCAGAAAAGTGCAAGTTCATGTTGGTTGAGGTGGAACATACACAGCACTCAGGAAGCAGAGGCAGAAGGATTGAAAGTTCAAGGCCAGATGGTCTACATTAGCAAGTTTTAGGTTGGCCATGTCTAAATAAAAACATTCCCAAAGCAAAAATTAATAGGTTAGCAAATGTATTACCATTTATAAAGCCCGTTAAGTTAGACAACCCAATAAAATTTTGTTTTACTCTGGGTTGTGATTTAAATAAGAAATGTCCCCTGAGGCCTTGTTCTAGGAGGCTGGTAGAACTCACAGGAGATGGAGATTCACTAGGAAAGGTCATGAGGGGTGAGCCTTGATATTTTATAGCCTTGCCTCACTTCTTGTTCCTGAGTGTGGACACAATGTGACCAGTGAGCTTCCTGCTCTTGCCACCATGCCTTCCCTGCCTGCTACCATTTTGGACCATGGCCTCCCAGAATTTTAAGCCCAGAATTTTCTTCCTTAAGTTGCTTTTGTCAGGGCTTTTAGTCACTGGCATAACAAAGTAATTAAAATGCCCAGCTTTGGAAAACACCCTACTCAGCCTCTTACTGAGGGCGAGATAGATTAAAGCAGCTCTAAGTGGTTCCAACTGGACAGGCAGTTTTACAGACTGATCTTACTGCAACCGAACCCTGTGAGCTATTGCTCGCCACTACAGGAAGCCCCACTGTCCTTCCATGTCTCACTTACGGTCCCCACTGCTGGTCGACGTCTGCTCCTCTCTGAGCGAGAACTGCAATGGCTTCATGGTGTTTATTCACAACAGCCACAATAACAGCAGGTCGACCTTGACCATCACAGCAGTTAGGGTCTGCTCCCTGTAGGTCATGAAAAACGGCAAACTTGCCACAGAAGCCTGAATCCAACATTGCCCATCTGCCATCCCACCATGAATAACAAACGTCCTAGACAGGGATGATGGCATTGAGACTAAATCAAAGGAAAGGAGAATGGGGGATCTCATGAACATAGCTACAATGGGCACAGCTGTCAAGCCCCCAGATTACAGCTTCTCCCCACCATCAGGAAGAGACACCTTGTTGTGTTAGGAAAACAGGTTGAATGTAAATCTGGCCACAGAGCGGGAATTCTGCCTAGCCTCATGGATATTACTTGGGTTCACATGTGCGTGGCTACGTGAGTCTTTGCTATAGAAAGTGACAGAGTAACAATGAGTATAACGCTCTTGACTAGTCATTTGCCCCATTTGCATATAGTGTTTGTCTAACAGGCAGCAGGCACAGACCAGGCTGGTCTCTGCAGAGAGGCCTGTTCTGGTGGCACTCACTTCGTCCAGCAGCTGTTCCAGCACAGACAGTCTTCCTTTCCCTGCGGCGCCAAGTTCCTCCAGCAGGAGTCTGTTTTCAGGCTGCAGGAAGACAGATGCCGTCATCTCCATTGCTTCTGTGTGCCTGTGCTGTAGAATCCCAGCCCCAGCACTCAAGGCACAATGGCCCTCTCTCTCCCAGCTTAGCAGTCACATTCTCTGTTGAACCATGTCGATGGGTGACTGTTAAGAGAAGGTGGTGTGTGTGTGTGCGTGTGTGTGTTCCTCTTGAGTGTTTTTGTGTGTCCACAGTCTTCCATATGTAGCAGTGGAGACATGCACTGTGTAACCAGTGCTGGCTCCCAAGCCTTGCTTTGGTTAAGGACAATGCCTTGACGTTTGTTTTATACAACCAAGGGCAAAGAGGCTCATGAGAGATCGCACAAAACCTCAGAAACTTTGCCACCTTTGTAGTGAACATTCCTAGGAAGAGCAGCTAAGCTGAAACCTAGAAGCTACTCTGCAGGCTTTTCTAAAATGCTCAAGGCCAGGCCACTATGACAGATCACAGGCACACCTGAGAAATGGAACCAACTGAGCCTGTCTCTTGGTTAGAAAAAAAAAAAATGCTTACATTTGTCCATAGATATATGAAGATTTCCATTTATGTTTTCAAAATGCTATGAAATTCATCATTATCTGTCTTTAACATTTTTTTTAACATAAAGGATTTCAAATACTAGAAGACTGAAGAAGTCAGCCCAAACAAACACATTGCTTTCCAGATGCTTCTGCCACTGGATCTCAGGCACGCATTGGGTGGTCACAGGGATCCTGACTGCTCTTTGTAAAAGTGTTGACAAAACCTACTGCCCAATGACTTCCTGGGCTGCTAATCCTTTCAGAAGGTATGGGGTTCAGGCTACATCACCCCTTATTTGACACCACACCTTTCTGTTGAGTTTTTTGGAATAAGGTATTGCATCCTTGGGTCTTGGGTATGGTACCTAGTCACAGTGAATTCTGTACCTTAATGGGAAAATTAATAGAATGTCAGCTTCATGAACTCCGGGGCCACATCTGGGTGTGCTCAAAATAATCACTACATAGCTGGAGCCAGCAAGTGCAGATGAGAAGGCAAAGGTACACAGCAGTGGGAGATTTGGTTCACCCACAGACTAAGAAGGTGCGGTCTCCGAAGTTCTAAGCTGTTAATTTGAGGGACTCTATGCTCCTCCTATGCTCACTATTTCAAACTGGGGGAAGGTAGAGAGTACAAGCAATCACAGTCTTTCCCCCAAATTTACTAGTACCTGTGAAGCCTATGGGAGCAGCATGCAAATGCAAAAAAAAAAAAAAACAAAAAAAAACAAAAAAAAAAAAAACCAAAAAAACACCAACCAACCAACCAACCAAACAAACAAAAAAACAAAACCAACAAAAACAGCCCCTGCCTCAGAGCAGTAAGCAAGAAGAATGGTGCATGCCCACAGCAGAAGCCCAGTACCCCACCAGCGTGACAGAAAGCAGGGAGGAAGGAAGCATCACACATGCCCATCTCCACATCTGGCCTGATGTTCCCCACAGTTATCTGTGCTGCAGCCAAAGACGGCCAGTGAGAGGCAAACAGGAAAAGGCACTGGGGGCACCTTCTGCCCCTTGCTCTAAAGCCCCCTTTGGGATTATTCATGGTATATATTAAAAAAAAAACACAAAACCTTAAAGCTTTTAAGAAATCATGAAGTGATGCCCACCATCAGTGGACTAGTGATTCTGAGGGATTTCCAAGAAGACTCAAGTAGCTGAAAGCAAAGCAAAAAAGACAAACGAGCAAACAAAAACATTGTAGGACCCAGAGATCCAAGTGTCTTCTCTCTGTGCACTCAGATTCTCAGCCAGGAAGGAGGGCAGATCCAGGGTGCAGGCTGCAGGCAAGCATGCACTACTGAAGGGCTTGCTGTGACTGGCTGAGACAGCTGCCAGCCACTGTGCTCCCTCGTGAAGGTAGGAACATTATGCTTTTTGTTTAAACCCCTGCAACTGTTTCCTAGAAATGACATAATTTACCCAGCAAAAGCTTCTGACTGGTGAAGGGTAGAGCATGCCACAAGGGAGGGTATAAGGAGAAGGGAACAAACATAGCAGCCTGCAGAATCAAAACATACAGGAGTACATCCCACCATTAAAACCCTTGTTACCAGAGGAGAGAGAGACCTTCCACACTGGCAGCCAGGAGGCCTTAATGCTTCTCTTGCCTTCAGCCCAGTGATTCTGTGGAATCCCATTGTGGTGGTTTGAATGAATGGCCCCCATTGGCTTATATATTTAAATACTTGGTCCCCAGTTAGCGGAACTGTTTGGGAGGGAGCAGGATGTGTGTCCTTGAAGTAGGTGTGTCACTGTGGGTGAGCTTGGAGGTTTCAAAAGCCAATGCTTTCTCTGCCTGTGGATCATGATGTAGCTCTCAGCTACTGCTCCAGGGTCTGTCTGCATGCCACCATGCTTCCTACCAGGATGGTAACAGGCTAACCCTTTGACACTGTGACATTCTTTCTTTTATAAGCTGCCTTGGTCATGGTGTAGCTTTACAGCAGCAGCACAGGAACAAAGAAAACCATCTATAACCAGCTGCCTACACAGGGACTTCCGCTCACATCCTACCCGTGCTCTTACACTGGACACACCCAGGCTGGGCACCACTGCTGAGCCAACTGGCCCTTCATCTAGTAAGTGATTAGAAAATGAAGGATCATCAGGTATTTAGACAAACCAAACCAAATACAAGACAGACAAAGATGAACACTCTGACCTGACCCCAGAAAAAACAGAGATCATCCAGGAAATTGAGAAATTTTAAAGGATTCTGCCTTCACAAAATAAACAACATTGTTATTTAAAAGGAGGAGAAAATGAGAAAGCATTACAAAATGTCCTCATAAACATGGAAGCAACAGGCTGCAGAACAGCTGAAGTGCACCTACTGTGAGTGGATCTGGGTTTCTGGGGAAGTTTTTGGTCTTGAGAGTCTTCACCTTCTTGACACTTTCAGGGGTGTCTGAGGCGCTCTGGCTATAGGCACTCACTGAAATGAAAAGAGTTGGAGGCCAAAATGACCCTGCCTTATTTCTCATATCAAAGAGGCATGGATGTCATGCCCCTCAAAAGTTACAAGGATAAAATAAATTTTCTAGAAATTTTGTATTAAGCATGCAGGAAGGACCATTGACCACCCCCATCCAGGAAATGGAAAATGAGTAAGAGAGGGAAAAGGAGGGTTTAAAGTGTTTAGGTTAAAAGCACATGTACACCCCTACCAGCTACAGTAAATAAACTTCCCAAGCCCTGTGAAGGACTTTTAAAGTCACACCCCAACTCCAGAGAAGTAAGAGAAACAAACTTCCTGGAACATGCTGAGATTTATGACTTGGCTTCAAATTGTATACAAGTCTCATCAATCCGTGCCCAATCAGTATTCGTGGCTAATTACCAAAAACTCACAGGAAGGGTATAACTCACCCAAGCTGGACCTGCTGCAATACAGCCCATTCCCACCTTCCATGACACTGCTCAGAAAGTGGTCACTAAGATTCACCGACTTGTTGAGGTACAGGTTCTGGCCAACAAAAACATTTCAGGCATCACTAATGATGGGGCTGCCATGTCTCACTGCTGGCCTGCTCTTCAGGAGGGACACGCCACCCACCTATCCAGTCAGGCCACAGGCTGGGAACCTTGTGCACAGCAGGCAAGCACTCTACTCCTAAGCAATATCCCCAAGCTGCTGTCTACTTTTAATTCTGAGGCAGTGTCTCATAAAGTTGCCTCAGATGCCCTGAACACTCCACCGTTTGCCTTGAGATCCTCCTGCCTAAGGGCTCAGAGTGGTTTATTTTGTATAAAACAAATAAGTCAAGGTGAACATCAGTCTTTTTTTTTTGTCAGTCTTTTTCCAAGTCTGTTGTATCCCAGACACAGAATCATTTCAGTGAGATTTCAGTGATAGGGCAAGTGTGGGTGGCAACTCCTGTTCCCACCATAACCTTCTGTGCTGGACAGTGGACCTCTTCTACAGTCAGGACAAGTATTTATACAATCCTGTGGAATTCCATGTGAAAGTCATGTGTGGTGGTTTGAAAGAAAATGGCCCCAATAGGACAGGGAGGGGTACTACAAGGAGGTGTGGCCTTGCTGGAGAAGGTATGGTCTTGTTGGAGGAAGTAGTCACTGGGGGCGGGCTTTAAGGTCTCAGATGCCTAAGCCATGTCCGGTGTGGCAGTCACTTCCTGTTGCCTATCTATGCAGATTCAGAACTCTCAGCTCATTCTCCAGCACCATGTCTGCCTGTGTGCCACCATGACCCCCAGTCAGGACAATAATGGACTAAGCCTCTGAAATATAAGCCAGCCCCTATTAAGTGTTTTCCTTGGCAAGAGTTGCTGTGGTCAGGGTGTGTCCACAGCAACAGAACCCTAACTAAGACACCACATTTCATACTATTTGAAACTCTCCTTTCCAGTCATTGCACAAAAGCATCTCTGTGAACTGTAAGCCATAATTGACAAGGTCAGTCAGTTCACAAGAAACTTCTAAAGGGTTACGCACCTTGTTGGAGACTTGAATGTAGTTCAGCCGGATGCTAACTTCATAGCCATCTTCATGGACAGTAGCAGAGATAAGCTTTTAAAATAAATGCAAAAAACATTTTCAATTGTGGTGCGAGACTCAATCCCTAGGAATTCTGAGATAGCAACTCTATATTTAATAAAATGTTTATAACAAAAGAAGCTTAGAGTAGAGAAACAAAGGGAGAAAGCTAGATGAAACAGAGAGCAAAACAGGAGACCCCAAACTAACTGATCTATAATCCTAATTATTAATGAACTAAATACTTCAATCAAAGCCAGAGACTCTCAGACTAAATAAGGAAACAAGATCCAAATTTGTATTTTCTTCAAGAGACTTCCTTCAGACAACCATATGGCTTCATCGTTACTTTTGAAAAAGTGCCGTGGTGAGTGGGTGCTGAGGCAGAGGCATTCACTAAAGGAGCTCACAGTGGGCGGCTTTCTCCGTAAGTTGTGAGACAAGTGTAAACAGGGCTATCAAATGTTTCTGAGAATCAGATGGTAATTTTTTTTAGGTCTTGTGGGTCATAAATTCTCTATTGCAAATGCTTAGCCACAGTTAACATTTTCTTCTTATATTATTCCATCTCACATATAAATCACACTGTATTAAATGTATGGGTTTGACAGTTGCATCTATCCTTCTCTGATCCAATAACCTTTTATTTGTGACGCTAGACATTTGTTTACAGTTGTCCCAGAGGGTATAGTTTGCTGAACTCCAAATCAGGACAAAGAATATATAAGCTATCAAAGTAGTTCATCAAAGGAAGCTGAGAAGTACTTGAAAACAAGATGGGTTCAGTTTTGGATGGTTTTGTGACAGAGGAGCTGATGGTCTGATTTGAAAGGGTCCCTTCTAGCTTGTGGTGAACAGAAAATGTTCTCCCATTGAACTGTCTCTTATTAATGATTTTAGGCCAAAGAAAAGGCATATGGCTTCTAATACACAGGCTTGTTTTAATGTGTATGCTCCAAACACAGCAGTGCTGTTTGGGGTAGCTTGCCAGCATCTCTGGGCCTCACTTATATTAGTTTTCAAATAAGACTTCCTATGACTAGCCACAGAATTAAAAACAAAAAAACACAACACAAAAGAAAACAACTTAAATTTTGTGCTGTTAAAACCCCACCACTTTATTGTGTTCATGTCCATTTCTCAAAGGAGACAGGACAAGGGTGGACAGAAGAAAAGGAAGGGAAGGCACAATTAACAAGGTCTGAGGGAGGCCTGATCACAGAGCTGCTCAGAGTGAACGCCTCCTCTCACCCACCTTTCCCATCCTGGGTTCTGCAATCAATGCCCGGAAGTCAGGGTTGTTCTGAGCATAGGACCTGAGGTGAGCAGAGATGTGGTCCAACTGCTTTCTCCAGTAGCCTAAAAGAGGAGAGAAACCCAAACATGGATAATTCTTCCACATTTAAGAAGATTTGAGTGTGAACACACATTCCTGGACATGTTATTTTCCTTGGCCAACTGGATGGTTTTTCCTTATAGAAGCTCAAGTATGCACTAAAGTGAGTTCCTGCTATTGCATGATTATCACAGATCACTGCATTTTAAAAGAATATGCATGGACTGCTGCATGTGAAGCCTTTTCTTCTTATGTTATCCCCTCTCACATATAAATCACACTGTCTCAAACATATGGGTTTGACAGCTGTATCTATCTGAATCAACATACAGATCATGTCCACTACTCCAGAAAGTTTCCTGTGCCCTTTCTGGTCTTTATAGGATTTTGAATGCATTTACATTAGAAATTAGAGTGATTTTGTGAACCAAGGCATTTGGTTTCTCATGTGAGGGAGAAAGACGGAGTGGCTCCCACCTTTCTGCCCATGTTGAAGGCCCTCATCATGGAGAGGCAGATTGGTGCAGGATCTCAGCTAAGATGGAAGAAGCAGTAGGCACTGATAGGATGGTTTAGCCCTTGTTTGCTCCTTACTCTCTGGGCACGTGAATGGCTGTCTTTGTGGTTCCACAGTAGCCCTGGCTCCTCCAGGAGCTTCTCCTGCATTCAGGAGCACATGGTGAATCTTTAATTGGTGCTGGCTTTCTGGGGAGCACACTGACCTTCATCCTTCTTAAGGCTTTCTGGGGAGCACACTGACCTTCATCCTTAAGGCTTTCTGGGGAGCACACTGACCTTCATCCTTCTTAAGGCTTAAGGCCAGAACTATCGGGTCAGCTCTCCTGTCATGTTCCACTGTCCAGCAAGGGACCAGGCCATCTAGATTCCAAGAGAAAGGAACCAGCTTCTTTCTTGAGGACAGCAGAGATGTTAGGAATCATTCTGGAAATGGCTGTTGACAGTCTCCCTGAAAACTAATGCTGCACTGAAGTCTGTAGAGCCAATCAGACTGTGGCTGTGATCTAGCAGGGAAACTTGGGAAACAAGAGTAGAGCTGGGAGACCTCTATCTGAGTAGCCTAAGAGTTTGGTGCTCCCTTTCTCCAGAGAAACTGGTTTGAAAAGCAATAATATGTCCGAGAGGTTGCTCAGTGGTTAGAGCACTTGCTCCTGCAGAGGACCCGGGTTTGATTTCCAGCATTCATATGGTAGCTCACAATCATCTCTAACTCCAGTCTCAGGGGACCCAATGCCCTCTTCTGACCTCCATGGGCAGGACGAAGCACACACGTAATCAGTAAGTAAAGTAGTCAATGACGAAAATGAAGCTCAGAATAGTTAGGTGGGCCGAGGCTTAACCACAATCCCCACGCTCCCACATCTCTCTTGTCTACTATGATGGAAACACCACTCCAGGCACGCACAGTCAGAAACACAGTCCTGTCCATCTTGGTTCTAAGTTCATCTTTAGTATCTTCTCAGAACAAATGGGATTTCCTTATTTCTCATCCTGCCCCAACTGCCTATTGCACAGCCTAAGTTCTTGGCAAGTGTGGTCAAAGGGGCTTCTCCTTCTTCCTGTCCAGTCATTACACATACTGTGGAGGCAATACCCTGAGCTATTGTTGATAGTGGGTACCCAGATCACCTGGTCTTGGCTCACTTGAAAAAGGTCCTTTCTGAGAGAGATAAATACAGACTATTTTACACGATTGCTGTGTTCCCTAGGATAAATTCTGAGAACAATGTACCATTGTCCATGCCCAGACAGATTTCTGCCCAGTGGGGAAGAAGTTGCCAGAAAGCTCAGAAGCTCTTCCCAAAGGAACTGACTTTATTGTAACAGAGTGTGGAAAAGTTCAAGCTCAGAACAATGCAGGCAATGATAAAAGGTAATTATAAGGGTTTGGGTATTTAGCTCAGTGGCAGAATGCTTGCCTAGCATGCACAAGGCCCTGAGTTCAATACCAGCACCCAAAGAAGGAAATGGGGCCAAGTACAATGCCGATAAATTCACTACTATAAGAGCTAACTCCTAGCTAACTCCTGGCCACGTTAAACAGAACCAGGATAATGACTAACAATAACTATTAGCTAATAAGAGCCCTTCTGAAATCAGAAAATTATTCAAATATTGTGCATGAGAATGCTGCTGTAAAAAAATCCCATATTTAATTAGATCAGTCTGTGAAAGGATTGATGGCCTAGAACACGGCTCAAAACAATAGAGCAATGAACTAACAGTAGGTGAAGCTCAATGTCTGGGAGTGGTCAGAGGAGGAGGCAGGGAGCCTTGCCAAACCCACAAACCCACATCTTCCTGGGATGATGGAGTGCAGGCTAAGGGTGTACTCCCCAAAGAGCAGTGCCACAGGCTTCACACAGCACAGTGAATTGAAGTTCATTAGGGAGACCGAGCTAGCTGCTCAACAGATAAATGTGTAAATCACAGTGACAAGCCAGGAGGGGAAACTAGCCCAGAGTTGAAATAATCAATTATTTAAAACCTCTAGTTCCAACAAAAAAATATGAAATGTGAAAAGGAAGAGTAAAGTTCAACTAGAACATAAGAACAAAAAGCAGGTGAGAAAAGCTGCCTGTGATAGCAACTGCATGTTGGGGCTCTAACAAAACTTCAAAGTAGCCATTATAAACATGTGCAAGGTATTAGGACCTGTAGATGGCCCCTCTCTCCCAGAAATAAAGCCCTGCAGCCCCCCCCCCCCCCCCCCCCCCCCCCAAAAAAACCCCCGCCCCCCCCCCCCCCCCCGCCCCATCATCCAGAAGAGGCAAGGCCACAGCTAGGCAGGTCAGTGGCTGACAGGCACTCTGGCATTGGGAGAAGGGGTACAGGAGAAGGGATGTGGGAAGTGACCATCTGAGAAGCACAAGCCTACTCCTGGGGTGCTGACCGTGTTCTGGAGACAGTGATGGTGGCTGGGTGACATCATTAACGTGCTTGATGTCATTCAATTGCACACTTAAACAGAGTTAAAGTGTTGAGCTTCACGCACTAAAAAGCCATAATGGCAGGTGGTTATGATGCTAGCCTGTCCACCCAGAAGGAACCCACATCAGCCACGAGGCTGACTAGACAGCAGACTGGGAGTTAAAGTATTGGAGTAGTAAAAGTTTAAGAAAAAGCTACTGTTCTTACAAAGAAAATGACCTGAACAAAGAAAAAGGAACACACTTCCAGTCCATGAAAATAAATGTAGAAGGAGAGGAGATGGGAGGTTCTTTCAGAGACAGGGTTTCCTCCTACCAGACGCACATGCCCCTCACCTCTTCCAGGGCTGACAGCCGTGAGGACCGGCCGGTGCTCGCTCATCTTCTCCTGTCTCTGCCTGTGAGAAGCCGCCTCCAGCTCCTTCTTGGCCAGGAGCTTGCCAGATGGGTAGAACAGGCCAGAGGTCTGTGTGCCCATTTCCTTTTTAGACCCAAGAGCAGATGTTGGCAAAGAGACATTTAGGGCCTGCCAGGCAGGTCGGGGCTATGAGCAATGAATAATACACTTAGAGATTAGAATATAATTTGATTAACCCCATCTCCATTCACAGGATGCAATTTAAATCAGAATAAAAACACCTAAAAACTTTCTTTGAACTAAAATTTTTTTTTTTTTAGGGGGAGGGTGTTCTCCCTGCCTTTGCCTCATCCTCCTGCTTTTGACTTTCCCAGCAATTCTTAGCTTGATCCATGAAGGTGGCCCCCTCCTCTTGGCCACTGAATTGTCCCCAATTCAGGCAATTACTGATAGGCAGGAGGACATCTACCCTCTCAGCTCTATAGTTCAATGGAACCGTCTTCACTGTGCAGCCACATTTGTCGGCTGAAAAGAAGCTTCTTGGACAGACCTAAGAAAACCACCATGGAAGGCCGTGTAGGCTGTCTGATGCCACTGCATCTAAAGTGGCGCCATTCACACAGCAGACACTGTGTGCTTGCATATTTATTAGGATACATTTCCTGACAGAGAGAAGGAAGTGTCTAAGAAAATATATACACTACAAACAAATGTTAATGGATGCCAGGCAGTCTAAGAAAAGAACACCTCTGTCCACTTAACCTATGTGTGAATGGGCTCTGGTGGCCCCCCAAGTCTGACTCTAAGTTTCTATGGCATGTGTCCCCCACAAAGGGGTGCTGGGCGCTAACTGCATGCACAGTCTCTCTAGTGACTATCTGTCTTCAGTTCCTATCAGTAAAGAGAGGCGGTGACAGCTGAAGGGCTGAGCAGTTTCGAGAATCCGTGAAAGCCAGCAGGAAAACAGTCGGCCCTGTGTGTGTGCTCCTGAATGGCAAGCCAGGGGTTACTGACAGGGAGAAATCTCACACAAGTGATGTAAATTTCTTTTTCTTTTCTTTCAGATTTTCGAGAAAGGGTTTCTCTGTATAGCCCTGGCTGTCCTGGACTTGCTTGGCAGACCAGGCTGGCCTCAAACTCACAGAGATCTGCCTGCCTCTGCCTCTGCTGGGATTAAAGGTGTGAGGCACTACACCTGTCTTTTTTGATGCTAGTTTTCTAAAACACAGCAGAGCAGGGAGGATGTTCTTGGGATGCTACTGGGAAACCCGAGAGAGGTTCACTCCGCCCATGCAGAGAAAGTTACTCCTCTCCTGGGGTACATCCCGCCTCACAGATGCTGTTAGACCGAATCTCCCTCAGAACAATGCAATTTTAGTTTCTTGATTTTTTTTTTTTGAGAGAAGGTTTTACTTTTTACCCTAGGCCAGATTTGAACTTGCATAAATATATGATTTTTGAAGAAATCACGGGGCGTTTAAAACCTAAATTGAATTTGTTGACATACTTAGCTCCAAGTCCATGTGCAGGGCCTACGTATTCTAGTTCCATTGTACTGGACTGCTCCACAGGGCATCGCACATAAAGGCAGAGTTACACTGGAGCAGCAGGTCTTACCTCAGGAAACGGATGAGGGACCCCAGCAACTAGGGCCAAGCTGCTGTTCATCCTAAGTCTTGTAATGGACTTCACATAAATGCCACAGGAGCCACAGAATCGAGCAGAGAGATGATTGCTGGCCCCACACTTTGGGCACACAGAATGCCTAGCAGAAATGCCAAGCTAGAGAACAGAAAATATTTTTATGATTTTAGAGGTGATTTTGTTTTTGTTTTCTTAAGTCAGGGTTTCTCTGTGTAGCCCTGGCTGTCCTAGAACTCGCTCTGTAGACCAGGCTGGCCTCAAACTCAGAGATCTGTCTGCCTCTGCCTCCCAAGTGCTGGGATTAAAGGTGAACACCACCACACACAGGGATTTTAGAGTTTTAATTTGCCCACGTAAACTATTCTCACACCACACGATCTCTACAATCTCTACCCATCAAAATAACATGTTCCTGCCTGCTGACCTAACAGCTCTGTCTCTAGGCTTTCTCCTACTCACAGACAAGCACTTAAAGAAATGTATCCCAGGCTAGTTTTTGTAGTATTATAGGTGCTTAAAAATTAAATCTTAATTTTTTTTTTTTTTTGTGTGTGTGTGTGTGTACTACAGTGCCTGTGTGGAGATCAGGGGAAAGCTTTGGAGAGTTGGTTGTTTCTTTCTGCCATCCACCCATCCTGGCAGTGTCAGTCTGGAGGTAATAATTGGGAACAACCTTAGTTCCCAGCAATGGGGGATATTGCCTAAATAAATCATGACATGTACATATAGAGTTTATACTATAGACAATGGAAGGTGAAGCTATAGGAACACATGAAGAGGAACTAGCAAGGTATATTGCCAGGCGGAAAGAAGGGGTCAGTAAGCTCTATCTCCCTGGGGAGCTGAGAAAACACCTCATATCTCAGGGGAAAGAATGTTTCTATGAAGAGGAGATGTGGGCTAAGGTGAAGGAGATAGCCATTCACACTAAGCTTTTGTTACTCGCATGCAATATCAGATAAACATAAATAATTTGAATGTTTTGATTTAAAAAACAGGCAAACTCCACTCACAAAAGAAATTCCAGTGGTCAATAAATGAGTGGAAAGGTTTAACCTCAAAAAAGTACAAATTGAATGGCAGTGAGAAGAGTTTGTCAGTACCAGCATATGGAACTATTTTGTCTACCTCCAAATTTTTGATGCAGAAACCACAGGAGGTGTCTTCTGCAAGGCTATAGGGAGAGCTTGGCTCTCCAGGGCGTGCAGCACAGAGAGGCTTGGTCTTTTTCGTTGTTATTGTTGTAGTTGTTTCTCTGGCTGCCCTGGAACTGACTCTGTAGACCTGGGTGGCCTCAAACTCACAGAAATCTGCCTGCCTCTGCCTCCCAACGACTGGGATTAGAGCCATGGCCACCACCAGCTGGCAAGGCTCAGTCTTAAAGTACCTACCGTGGCTCCACACCAGTCGCAGAAGGATGCCTCCCAGAGGTTCTGGCAGCCACATCTGGAGCAGGAGATGGTCTCCCCATTCCTAGTGGGCGGATGAGGGACTTGATCTCCATTGCACAGCCACTGCTGAACAAAGCATTGCCAGGCAGAGTCAGAACTATGTTCTCCAGTTCCCATTCCATGCAAAGAAGGGAATAAAGCCTGAACGAAACAACAGAAACTAGAAATATTGCTTTATTATTATTTTTTTTTGGACAAAAGCAGTAAAAGATTTATCTATATTTGTTTGTCTGTTTGTTTGAGACAGGGTCCTCCCTACCTAGTCCTGGCTGTCCTGGAACTTGCTTGTAGACCAGGCTGGCCTCAAATTCAGAGATTTTCCTGACTCTATCTACTAAGCGCTGGGATTAAAGCATGTGCCACTAAGCCTAGCCCATATCACCAATTTTAAGTTCATATTCTTCCCTGGAAATCACAGGAAGTGGATAAAAATGGTGCCTCCAACATCTCCATACTCCCTAACTCATTGGTATCACAGGCTGAGCAAAGCAAATGTTGACTGATAGAACGTTACTGATCAACCAAGCTGAGTCATGTAGGGCTCTGACTGAGACTTAATTTTCTAACCGCCGCCCCAGGGAAATGTTGATTTATTCTCCAGTCTGGACATGGAAATAATAGGGCAAGGAAAGAGCCACTTTTACTCGACATTGCCAGACCACATGTGGGGGCTGGCAAGATGACTCATTAGAGTACACTCTACTCTTTCTGATTATTCTGGTTCAATTCCCAATGCCCATACGGGTAGTTCACAACTTTCTGTAACTCCAGTCCTAGGGGATCTGATACTTTCTTCTGACCTCTGAGCACATGAGACACACAAGTGTCACACAGAAATACATTCAGACAAAACACCTGGGCATTGGCCTGCACCCTCATGTCAACTCGTACAACCTGTGAGATAGGTGTGACCACTTGAGCCCAAATCGACTGACTTTACAGCCTGCTGTCCAGGACTGCGCACTTCCTATTGATCTGACGGTGTGCTCAAAGGTCTGTAGTGGGGTTGGGGTGATCAGTGCCAAGTGAGTATGAAGGAATGCTCAGCATAGTGTTAAGTTCTATGCCTCAAGTTCCTTTCTGGACTTTCTACTAGACGCTGACTTATGCACATGAAATGACACTAATTCTGCATTTCATCCCGTGTGCATGCCTTGTGCCAGAGGAAGTCAGAAAAGGGTACTGGATTCCCTGCCAACTGAAATTACCGATGGTCATGAGCCATCTTGGAACTGAAAACAGGTTGCCTGGAACAATAAATGCTCCTAATTTCGAGCCACTGAATTTAATTTTGACAGAGATTTTGGCAACTTGGGGTTCTAAACACAAAGCTTTCAGATCTTTCATTGAGGATGAAAGTCCAAGCGGACTTTTAAAGCTGCTTTAAAGAAAGAAAAACATCTTCCCCATCATATCAGTCAATGTTGCTAAACAAAGACAAGCCAGGAAGCTATCCAGCTGATCATGCATTGCTACTTTCTGCCATTTCCATAAACACCATCATTCTAATACGTGAATCCTGATAAGCCATTCAGACACAAATGTATTTTTGAAAACATTCAATTTGGGAGTGCTAGAGAGATGTTTTAGCAGCTAAGAGCATTTGTTTGTCTTGCAGAAGGCCAGGGTTTGATTCCCAGCACCCACATGGAGGCTCACAGTCCTCTGTAACTACAGCTTTAGGAGCCATTGACCCCTTCTGGCCTCCGCGGCCATCAGACATGCACACGCTGCACAGACAAGTGCAGGCGAGACACTCACATGAGTAGATAAAACAAATACCTATTTTCAATCGTGCTATTGTTCCCAAACACGTTTGCTGATGATGGAGACAAAAATGAAGACCCATATCATTGGCAGTTACTATAATTGATTTAAAATGTCTTACTTTTGATATAAGAAGTCCAGAAGACAAAAAAAAAAAAAAAAAAAAAAGGAATAGAGGAGGGTGATTTCTCAGACAGGGTCCTGCTCTTATAGTCCAGGACAGCCTCAAGATCACACTCCTCCTGCTTTAGCTTTCTAAGCGCTGGGATTACAGTAGTGCGTCTCCACAGTCAGAGTTGCATGTATCCCATGCTGGCTTCAAATGGAGAATGACCCTGAACTTCAGACCTCCTGCCTCCACCTCCAGATGCTGAGATTATGGGTGCCACTACCCCAAGTTGATGTGGTACTGGGACTCAAACTCAAAAGAGTCCTGGGGATACTCGGCAAGCCTTTACCAAATGAGCTATCCCTAGCCAAAAACTTAAATCTTCTGATGAGAAATTTACTTGAGTCTATGGGAACTCTCACTCCAAGAAGGATTTCCAGGAGTGCCACAATTTTTTACTGTTGTGTTTTTCAACCTCACTATCATTCTCTGAGGTGCTTTGGGAAACAGACAGTGAAATTTCAAGATGAGAGAATGCTATAAAATTTGAACCCACATTACCCAAAAAACAGCTACAAATACAAGATTCCCCCAATTTACAACAGATTTGACGCGTGTGTATTCTGGTTAATTTTGTCAGTCTCATTAGCCTGTTCCCATACTTGGTTCTGAAAATATACCTATGTAAAGAAGAGAGTTTTTAAAACCTATGTAGATTTTCCTTATGTGGCACTGGAGTAAGTGCACAGCTATAAAATCTGCTCTCGCATGAAGGCTCCAGAGAGTGGACAAGTACACACAAGCTAGATGGGAGTTATGCAAATTTAGTTCCAATCTTAGCCTTTGGCCTGGGGCTAAGAACACAGCACACAACACATGCCAAGTGGGAGGCAAAAGGCAGTATTTCTGAATCAAGCACTGTTTTTGCCCTTACTTTTCTCAAACTTTTTAAGGCAGGGGTTATAACATCCTCCCAAGATGTGCAGTGTGTAAGTACAGAGTATGAATACCTATAATAGGAAGGATGAGGCCAGGGGAAATCTGACCTACCTAACAGCATACTTTCACAACCACTTTAATGTGCCTACCAAAACACACGACACAAACACTGGATCTGAATCACAGTGGAGGGGCTTCCCCACAGGGGAACATTTAATACATTTTAATTGACAAGAATAATTTATATAGTGGGCCGCAGGTATTGCGCTGATTCCTCTTCCATGGGACCCGGGGTCAGCACGCACATGGCAGCTGACAACTGTCTGTAACTCCAGACCCGGGAATCCACGCCCTCTTCCAGCCCCTGTAGGCACTGCATGCACGTGGTGTGCATGCATTCAGGCAAACACTCAAACACATGAGCATGACATGATGTATTGCGGAATGGTCAACTATTCTACACCACTGATCATATGCGTTACCTCATGTACTTATCCTTTCTTGATGGCACGAACACAACATTCAGTCTCTTAGAAAGTTTCAAAGATATGGTGAGTAACGATGTTCAAGAACACAGGTAGGAAGAACTCACTGGTCATCATGATGTACAGTAGAGCTCTCAAATGTTTCCTCAGAAGCATAATGTATCTTTCAACAACTTCTCCCCAAACCACTGTCTGATAGTCTCTGTGCTTTGTTTGTTTTTAGTTTGTTTTTTGATGTTTTCACACCCTGCATGTATGTGAGATCATTGACTATCAGACTCTGTGCCCGGCTTATTTCACACTGAACATAATGTCTCCATGTGAACATAATGTCTCCATACAGGTGAAAGGATGTCTTTCTTTTTAAAGGCTGAACGGTATTCTAGCCAGTATGCATACCACGTTTTCCCTACCTGTTCTCTTGCTGACAAACCAGGTTGATGCTGTGCTGGGCCTCTTGTGAACTGCAATGATCGGGACCCAGCTGTCTCTCTGACATACTGATATATCCTCTTTGGATATATCCAGTAGTGAGACTGCTGGATCACACGATGATATATTTTTAATGTTTAGAGGTATCTCCAGACTGTTTTCCTTTTGTTTCTATTCATTTCCATTTCCATCAATAGTGTATAAGGGTTCTTCTTATTCAACAGACTCACCAGCATATGCTACTTTTGTCGTTTTGATAACAGCTGGAGTGAGGCACTGCCTCATTGTAAAGTTATTTTATTTGTGTGTGTGTGTGTGTGTGTGTGTGTATGCATGACTGTGTGTGCACTTAGGCTTACCACAGAGGACAACTTTTGGGAGTTGCTTTTGTCCCTCCACTCTGAATTCTGGGATCAAACTTTAAAGTCGATGATCTGAAGTTTTTATTTCAGGAAGTTAGAAAGGGGCTGGAGATCTGGCTCAGCAGGTAAGGTGCTTGCTGTGAAGCCTGACAACCAGAACCCACATGGTAGAAGGAAAAAATTGATTCCTCTGGGTTTCATGTGCACGTGTGCACACATACTAAATAGAAAATATGAAGATGAAGAAGAGGAGGAGGAGGAGAAGGAAGGGAAAGGCCAAGCATGGTGGCATACACCTTTATCCCACTAATCAAGAAGCAGATGCAGGTAGATGTTAGCCTGGTCAACATAGTGAGTTCCAGGACAGCCAGGATTACATAGTGAGAACCTATATAAAAAAATTAAGTAAGTGAACAAATAAACAAAAAGAAATTTAAAAAAAGAGGATCAAACTAAAATCAAATCAAAGAGAAGAAAAGACTAAAAGGCAAAATAAAAACCATGATATAAAATGAGAAGACTGTAAAAAGACCACAGAGTTCACGTATCTCTGGCCTGATGGGAAGAGGGGGACAGGACACCCATACTATCAAGTAAAAGAGAAGTATAAACCATAGACTCTGCAGACAGTAAAGGTGACATCATAAGGTAGCATGTACAAAGTATTTATAAGGTTCAATGTATAATAATACCCGTGTGTTAAAGTGTAATTAATAAAAAATAAATAAAAATTAAAAAAAAGAAAAATAATAATACCCGTGTGGGTGAAAAAAACTGAAATAAGTGGAAAGCTGTCCAGTGTTCAGGTATCAGAAGAATTACCACATATTAAAATGTCTGCAGTGGAGTGCAGAGGATAATTTTCGGAGTCAGTTCTCTACTCTCACTGTGAAGTCCATGGGACTCAGGCTGCCAAGCTTCTGTGGCAAGTACTTGCACCCGCTGGGCCATCTTGCGGCCCTCCCACTGCACATCTTACTTCTCAACTAACATCAACACCGAGCACCCAGAGGCCACAAAGATAGGACATTCACATGCAATCCACTCACCTCGTGTGTTGCAGGCAGAGGCCCCTCGCAGGTGACACAGTATCTCAGATGAGCAGGGTTCCCAGTGCCACAGGTGCGGCAGATCACCTTCTCCTTGACAACAGGAATTACAAACAGAGTGAGCAAAGACAGAGTGAAGGTGCCCCATCATCCTGTTGGCCAGCCACTGGCATTATAGTACCCAGGAAGGAACACCGCATTGGTCTGGGTTACTGCAGTAGCGCCAGACCAATGAACACAGCTTCAAGAGACAGAACTACAAGCAAACAAGGTTTGAGGAAGACAATCTGAAAGTTTACAATGATTGCGTTCCCCTCCCCATGTGGAAAACCTGATAGTTGGCAGGCTCTCTACTTCACGGCCTACAGTGTAAAGAGAAAAAGACTTGAGACCAGCAGAAGCACAGCCTGTGGATTTACAAGACTGTTGGGTCCTGAGACTTTATGCTAATATGAATTAAAGTTTGTTCAGTAGGTTATGACTTAGATAGAAGTGGAAGAAGTATCTGTCAGAAAAAATATTAATGCAACTTCCTAAGTCAATCCACAAGTTAAGATGCAACACAAAAATAGAGATGATAGCACTAGACAGCTATGTGTTAGGAGGGAGGAGATGGCAGCAATGGGACGAACTGGGGGGTGGGGACTGTGACTGTTAATAAGATTAGTACAATTAAGGAGAAACTCCCATTTTGCATCTTTTGCCCTAGAATAATAGGAAAATGCCTACCGGGCAAGACCCCATCCACAGAAGAGTCCAATTTGTAAAATGCAAATTGATTGGAAGTAACTACAACTTGGGTCGGTATTTTACAGGTCCAGCCACCAAGGAGCACAGAGGCCAACAGTGGTGGAGGGCCAGAGTTTATCTGGAGCTGGCAACAGAATTCAGTAGCATCATTCTCAAGATACTGGTTTTACAGCCATGAAAGATGGAATGAGGAGGGGTCATGGAAGCTTGCATCACAGCTTCGGAAGGGCTGTTAAGGCCAGGCAGTGTGCGGCAGGAGCAGTTCCTCTACAAAGAAGCCCTAAGAAGCCACTGCATGAAGCTGGGGAGGTGAAGCATAAGGAGATGCCAGGGCATGACTAGTTCTAACCACTTTTTTTCTACAAAATAGGAAGCCACCATCAGATTGAGCAAACAAAAACATGAAGCCACTTTCAGTGAACAATTTTAAGTCAGTATTGACCACAATTCTGAAGTGTAAATATGTAGGTAAAACATTATCTAAAGTAGCTATATTACATTTAATCCTCAATTTGTGTTGGGAAATATGCATAGGCATCTCTCTTACAGATCCTACAGGCAGGTCTATATTCAGGCCAGGATGGGGTTGTTCACAACACATGACTGGTTGTTACCAGTCATTAGTTCACCCCACCAGATGAAGACAGCACACAGTATTCAGACATTACTTTCAGGGTATCACATTCATGTTTCCACAGAACCACACTCCTTACCTTCAGGTGGAGGCTGGCCTGTGGCCGAAGCTGTGGAGCAAGAGGAGCCTCACACACCACACAGATGGGAGTGTTCATGGGAACCATACTTCCACATTCTGTGCACAGGCCCATCTGCTCAAAGGAAAAGGTCAGGTTTGCCTTGGGAAGTAAAAGCTGACATGACTTAGTTCCTAAGGTTGGTTTTGCTTGGGAGACATTTAAAATGATTACCTTTCCTATTGTTTTATGTCCGTTAAGAATAAAAGCCTGTTTACTCTAGAATATGGCTGTAAGCCAAAGGTGAGCAACAAACCAAAATTTCCAGAAAATGCCCATTTGTCCAAGAGCACAGTGGTTCTTACAAGCTGCTCTCTTCTGCCCTGCTCTGGGCAGTGGCTCCTCCGGGACAGAGCAGGCTGAGAACAGCAGCCCTTCTGCGGCTGCTACTGTGCAGGGTCTGCCTCACATTGTCAAGACGACAATCTCGGCGGCAAACGAAAGGACCAGTGGTTCACACAATCAACAGACAGGTGACGAACCCAAGGACTTTTGTTTGTTACTGTTGTTTTTATTATGTTTTGAGTAGACTGTTTTGCTTTTATTATGATTTCTATTTTAGCTTTTGAAAAAAATGGTGTATGTGTGTGTTGGGACAGAGAGGGTTGGGAGTGATATGGGGTCGTGTGCATGCATGAAATTCTGAAAAATATTAAAATGTTGTTCATGTATGTGCAGGTGTGCATGGATGCACAGGTTTGTGTGTGTGGAGGTCAGAGGATGATGTCAGGTGTCATCATCGGGAATGCCGGTCTGTGGGATGGAGTTTCTCACTGGCCTGCGCTCACCGATTATGCTAAGCTGTAGCCCCATGGCTGCCTGTGAGCTAGGAGTTGAACACTGCACTCAGGTCCTCCTGCTTGCAAGTCCAGCAGCACTTGACTGACTGGGACGCTCTCCGGTCCGATGCCAGGATTTTACAGATAACCTAACTGTAATGTTTCAACATGTTCTCAGGGTACCCAAGTATCTACACACCTCAAAGTGCATGTGTAGATGAAAGAAAGCTCAAGATAAGCAAAAGCTTCCAGTCTTAAGTTTCACAGTCTGTCTAGCCACACAAACACCTCCCTGCAAAGCCTTACAAGCTTGAGGTACTTGAGCACAGTTTTGGGCCAACCTTGTCCCATGAAAACAGTAAAACTTCAGTCTGTTTTTCAGTCTGTCTTCCCCAAGGCCATACAAAGGAAACCCTGCTGGAAGAGTGTTCCATTCTCAAGAAGGGTCCAGATAGTAAGAGGTCAACGTGTTCACATTCTTCAGTGAGTGTTTATGTTTGTGGCTCATGTGACGGGGCCTCGGCACAGCTACTCATACAAGTCACATAAACCAGAAACAAATGTTTTCAAACATTGTGCAGCTTGCCTGAGCTCCTTCTGGAGGTGGAAGACGATAGCCAAATATGGGTGGGACAGGAGCGCCACATTCTTGACAGAAGCGAGCAAAAGGATCAGATGGACGGGAAGCCAGACAGTGGGCACACCTACAACAAAACAGGTTTCCACTTATCCAGAAGGGTCTGCACAAACATTTGCATATATCCAGTGGATGGGGGGGGGGGGTGCCTTAGCTCCTGACCCCTCCCCAAGGACTACTGTTAGGGGAGTAGTCCTTTATTTATCAGTGATATACCTATTGAACAGTAGTCCAGGCTTATGCAAGCAACCCTAATTAAATACACACACACATACACATTTCTTCTAAGAGCTTTCATGTCGTGTGCATTCTTGCCTGTGTGTGTGTGTGTATTTCTAAATACTTTCATTAGAACACAGGGATTGTCCAACATAACTTTTTAAAAAGTAAGACCTAACTATATTTTCTTAAAAGAAATCAACATTAAGTAGGGGAACAAAAGTGAATTAAAAGACACAGTATGTCATTAAGATATTAGTAAAGAGGGCAGAAGTGGCTGCTTATTAGTAGAGCAAGTAGATGTCTGAGCAAAGGATGACACCAGGGTTAAAGAAGGTTATTCCATACTGGCATAGGAGTAAACTCAACAACAGGACATACACATTCAAACAACTTCATATTTAATGGTTTTAAAAAGACTATTAAGACTATAGAGTTTCACACTTGGACAGAATGCACTTTGCATTATGAGACAGCCGTGAGCTTTGGGGGCCAGCAGCACGATATTATGATTTGAATCTGCAGTGCCATTCACAGGCTTGTCTTTTCAGTGCTTAGTCCTTTTTCTGTTATTTTGAAGGCTGTGGAGCCTGGCTGGTGGCTCCAGTCTATGTCACCAGACAATAGACTCTGAAGGTCAGTCCATGAATGCCATGAACTCTCTTGGTTGCCATGTTGTGATTAAGCTGAGAGGCTCTTATTGTGTTTCCCAGGCTAACCTGGAACTTGCTATATAGCCCAGGTCAGCCTGGAACTTGCTATAAAAGCCTAGGTTAGGCCAGAACTTGTGATCCTCCTACCTCAGCATCCTTAAGGCATATGACACATGCTCAAGTGTGAAGTTTCTCATAAATATGACAAGCTAAGAATTAAATATAAAAGAGAAACAAGTAAATTGGACTTCATCAAATTGCAGAGCTAAAGATTAGAAAGTATTCGTAAAACACGTATCTGAGAAGAAGAACGTCTGCAACCCTATATAACCACTTTAAATTTCAACAGACTCTTTGCCAAAGATTTATACATGACACATAAGTACATAAAAGATGCCTATTATTAATCTCCAGGGAATTATAAATTAGAATCACAATGATATGCCACTACAAGCGCACGAGACTATCCACAAATATGAAGTGTTGGTAAAGACATAAAAGCTGGAATTCTGCAGCCCTGCTGAGGTGAATGTAGGTGGCACATCCCTTTTGGCCCAGTCATTCTCCTTCAAGACATTCCCTTAAAGGACAAGGAAGCCAAAGCACACGCAGTGACTTGGGTACAGATGTTCACATTAGTCTTCTGTTTGACCTGTTAGCCAAACACGTGGAGGAGCATGTGTCCTCGTAAGTGAATGGGTAAGCAAACTGTGGGTGCCCAGCCAATAGAAGCAGCAATATACAAAATGCTTGGCAGCAAAAGGATGTCAGCAACATGTGCCACTCAGAAAACAATTTGCTGAATCAATGAAGCCTGGGGAATGGGGAAAGAGTACATGCTAATTTATCACCTCACACACAGAATCAGTACACACCTTGCTAGAGTGACAAGAACCAGGGCAATAGTTGACTGCGATTGTAGTGTTAGTTTTATATCCATGTGTCAATTATACTCTTTACAATATGTATTTAGCATCTTTTTTCTTTTAAAAATTTTTCTACTTATAATTTTTGTTTTCTGTGTATGAATGTTTTACCTGCAATACATGCCCATGCCCACAGAGGCCAGAAGTGTGTGTCAGACCCCCTGGAAATGGAGTTATTGACAGCTGTGAGCCACATGTGGATGCTGGGAATTAAAACCAGGTGTCCTGCGAGAGAAGCTAATGCTCTTAACCACTGAGCCATCTCTCCAGTCCTGGCCTCTTTTTCCCAATCATGTGTTTTTAAAACTAAACATTTTCTAGGCATGGTAGATACCAACACTCAGGAGTCTGAAGCAAGAAAATTGTTTCAAGTTTGAGGCCAACCTGGACTGCCTAGCAAGTGCCAGGCCAGGCCTACATGGCAAGTCCCTGTCTCAACAAATTCAATTTCAAAAAGTAGGAATGGGCCAAGACAGTGTTATATTTCATTTTAAATCTCATGGGCCATGTGTAACATTGAAGGATCTAAGACAGAGAAAGTGATACGTACTTGAGGAAGTCTGTCTCCCTCTGGATCCTCATGATCTCCGTGCTTGTCAGACTCTTCCGGCCCGTTATGTGTGCAAAGCCAGGGGACTAAAACCAAGAACACAGACAGACACACGCTCTGTATAATGTGGTAAAGGCTACTGGACAGGAAAAGTCCATTCAAAATACACTTACCAACATTCATGTTTTAAAACAATCATAGGGAAAAGTCTTTGTACCCTGAAATCAACATAAGAATTTCCTAAGTGCTTGCTATTCATGAGCAAATATGTATAGTTTATTTAAAACAAAAGTTTAAAATAAAAGATATCTGAATTTACTATTAGACAGACCATATTTTAGAATTAGAAGACTAAAGTTAGTATCCATTTGTCTTAAAGATATTATTTCTTTAATATAACCCAAAAAGACTCACCTATACAAATAGGTTATTTGAATTAATTTTTGTGTTTGGTTCAGAGAAAGGGTAAAATATATATATATATGTATATATGTATATATGTGTATATATATATATATATATATATATATATATATATATATATATATAT